CCCACTGTCCCCCTCCCCCCCCCCCCCCCCCCCCCAACCCCGTTTTTAAAAAAAAAAACCTGTACATTCACATATGTGATCTACCAAAAAATTATAACCATATGGAAGGTTGCAAATGCATCCATTGTAATTACAGAAATGATTTTTTTTGTCTTTCCTGTAACTATTAATTGTCCTAGCCACGCTCCCTTTTAACTCATGACTGAAACGTGCTCTCCTTGGCTTTAGTTGATACTGTGAATATAAATCTGAGTTCTAACTAAGGTATTGAATGATGACAGTTTAGGAGACATGGTGAGATCATTGTGCAATGTTGGTTGTTTGAAGCAGACAGTTTCAGAGGACACTCATGACAGATAAAAACAATGGTCAGAGTCCAATTGTGCTGCAGTTTGTTTTTCCTTTTCTTTGGTTGATTTCCAATTTTTCTGACAAATGTCTTGCCTAATTGGTGTCCTACTGATCTCCTTCCCCATCCCCCCCCCCACCCCGGTTCAAAAAAAAAAACCTGTACATACACATATGTGATCTACCCAAAAATTATAACCATTTGGAAGGTTGCAAATGCATCTGTTGTAATTACAGAAATGATTTTTTTTTCTTTCCTGTTAACTGTTAATTGTCCTAACCACGCTCCCTTTTATCTCATGACTGAAACGTGAATCTCAAATGCACGCCAATTATAGAATTGATTTTGTGCTCACTCTGTCATGCTATGTTCAAGGGTGTTGACTCTCTTCCAATCCTACTTATATCTTTCATAGTGCAACTCAATGACAGCTGTCCCAGTTAAGATTTTTGTTTGAGAGTTAATGTTGCCTGAGAGGTTGATTAGGATTACTAGAGCAAAAATAATGGAACAGTATTGCAACCACACTAGTTAAAAGGCTATTTGTTGTGGCACATAAGTTCATGGAAGATCAGTCCCTTTAAATGGAAAAATGAAGCTAGTAAAATGGAAATGAGTTCATGTCATTCAATGGGGCTGGCATTTGTGATTTTGATTTCTAAAAGTGACAATATATACATATATATTGAATTATTTACACAGCCCAGACTGATTGAAGCTCGTATGCCTTAATCATTGTCCAGAAAGAATGACGGATCTGAGGTGGAAGCAAGGATCGTCCCTAGTGTTAGAAAATCTCTCTTATTACAATCCTATCAACTATGAATACTCTAAAACTTCATAGCATGTCGCTCTAGACTTGTTCACAAATTTAAAAGCCACCCCACCCCCAAAAACTAAATTCCAAGCTCCATTCATGTTCATAAATATGGATCTAATGCAGATTAGTGCCAAACTATAGCTTTCTTGAATGGACATTGATCCAACACTAATCTATTTCTACACAAAATCAAGTGCTATCTGGTCCCATGAACCAAATAAACATCATTATGATCAAAGGAACCAGTTATGAATGAAGGGAATTAATGTAGTGCTCTATTAGCAAGGAGGGTTTTTATAACACTTGTATGTATGATCAGGTATTCTTTACTGTGTTTCTTTGAAAGAGAAAGAGAAAGGGAGATCAAACATATTTGAGGACATTAAATATGCAAGGTTCACTTGTTATTTTCTCTTTTGGGGATATTTTGTTTTCAAAACATCAAAGTAGTGGAGATTCCACAGTAGTGCCATGAAAGGAAATAAATTGGAGGGTAGATTTCTCAAGCCCACGGCCAGATCATTATCGTCATTATTAGTTTCATAATCATTATGATTTTCAGTCATAATGAATATTAATATTATCATCTTCACCACGATTGTGATCATTATAAAAAGGCCTTTTCCATGGTTGGTCTGCCTAAAAGGAGCAAATTGGGTAGAAGTCTAACCGTTTTTAGTTGCTCTGAGACTGAACCTTTCATTCTCTCTCTTGATATTTTCAAAATATTATACCATTACGACAAATAAATGGCCTTTATCATCGTGATTATCATCATTGCCATCATGATCATACTCACACAAAATTTCTTAAGCTCAGATACAGGTAGTGTTGATCCATCCTCTTCCTTTGGTTATGACATTTTTGAAGATATGGATTTAGACAAGTTCAAAGAGAAATACTATGACAAAAAGGATGGAGACTCTTGAAGGATTTATGGAAAGCAACCATTTACTGTCCAATTGCCACAAGAGGGACTATCATTCAACCCAATTCCATATGCTGATTGCAATTCCCATCCTACTTGTCTTTGCACAAGTTTGATATACATATAACAATGTAAACAGAGAAATTAATTACTGGTAGTTCAATAAGACTTTTTTCTTGCTTAGACCAGTAGAGAAAGAAAGAAACAATTATTAATATTAATCATTTTGCTTTAGATTGTGAGAAACTGCCTCACATTTACTATGAGGTTAAATTAATTCATTCAATTATCAAATATACAAAAATATTAAAGATATATGCCATTAATTACACATTCTCTAACAAATTGATCTTATGAAATAGTTGAGGGGTTATCATTACATCAAAATTGACCAGGAGATTTTATTCAAATCTCGTTGTTTATCATAATATTTTACTTGTGTGTTTTTCAAAAATTTATCCATACATGAGAGAAAGTGCTGAAAGATCGTGTGTGCATCACATGAGATGGATCAAAGTAAGAGTAATTGATGGTTTAACAATTAGCAGAACACCATGGTGCAAATCATCATTTTTTTGAAAGAAAAATGATCACCAAATGTCATTGTTTCTTGACATGCTAAAAAACCACTATACAGGCACCAGCATATTCAATTTAATTATAGCAAAAATGTCATGCATCCATTAATAAGGGAAAACACCGAACTTTTGAAATCAAAAACAATACCCCAGATTGTAAAATCAAATAAGTCGAGAAAGTTTTAAACAATTTAATGTTAGCAAAAATGCTATGCATCCCAAATTTTTAGCTTGGATTATTAGCAAGGGAAAGCACGGAACTTTTGAAAACAGAAGAATACTCTAGATTATAAAACCAAATGAATCGAATAAGTTTCAAACAGTTTTATTCTAACATACGCCATGCATCTAATAATTTATCCCATAATTATTAGATGTTTTGGGGCTCATTTTATTTGTTGGTGATACGAATAAGTTTTAAATAAAACAATAATGTGGCAAAATAGATTTTCTATGAGCTTCAAAGACACAAGTTCGTGATAAAAAATTCACTGATTATCAAGCAGAATGACAATGTCATGTAATGTATAATATATGTGTTCCATAAGTCAATGTTATGATAATTTCTCATTATATAAAAGCATCACATAACAATGTGCGCGAGGTGCCATATAAACATGAAATATTTTCTCCAAGTTTGTTCACTATTTACCCAAAAAAATATATTCTTTATCTATTGAGCTTGTAATTCAATTTATGGGTTATTTAAGAAGGGTTCAAACACAATTATTTAGAGATTATATGTTAAATGATTAGCATATATATAGAGTATTTTTTTTAATCAAAGAAAGGGGGGATCTTGGGCATGAACATGAGAGTCCTCTATTGGATAATATACGAATTGAGTTATAGTTACTAATCGAGAAGAACAACTCATCACCACAACACAATCAAAAAGTTAAGCAACAAATTACATTATTCTCGTAAATTGAATTTTACTTGATAAAGTATGAAAGTTAAGAACAATCGTAAATGAGTACGACATAATTAAACTACCCGTTCGGGTGGGTGATTATAGAGAGTATTTTAATTTATGAATTATTTGAGAAAAGGTTNATTTTACTTGTGTGTTTTTCAAAAATTTATCCATACATGAGAGAAAGTGCTGAAAGATCGTGTGTGCATCNCATCATAATATTTTACTTGTGGGTTTTTCAAAAATTTATCCATACATGAGAGAAAGTGCTGAAAGATCGTGTGTGCATCACATGAGATGGATCAAAGTAAGAGTAATTGATGGTTTAACAATTAGCAGAACACCATGGTGCAAATCATCATTTTTTTGAAAGAAAAATGATCACCAAATGTCATTGTTTCTTGACATGCTAAAAAACCACTATACAGGCACCAGCATATTCAATTTAATTATAGCAAAAATGTCATGCATCCATTAATAAGGGAAAACACCGAACTTTTGAAATCAAAAACAATACCCCAGATTGTAAAATCAAATAAGTCGAGAAAGTTTTAAACAATTTAATGTTAGCAAAAATGCTATGCATCCCAAATTTTTAGCTTGGATTATTAGCAAGGGAAAGCACGGAACTTTTGAAAACAGAAGAATACTCTAGATTATAAAACCAAATGAGTCGAATAAGTTTCAAACAGTTTTATTCTAACATACGCCATGCATCTAATAATTTATCCCATAATTATTAGATGTTTTGGGGCTCATTTTATTTGTTGGTGATACGAATAAGTTTTAAATAAAACAATAATGTGGCAAAATAGATTTTCTATGAGCTTCAAAGACACAAGTTCGTGATAAAAAATTCACTGATTATCAAGCAGAATGACAATGTCATGTAATGTATAATATATGTGTTCCATAAGTCAATGTTATGATAATTTCTCATTATATAAAAGCATCACATAACAATGTGCGCGTGGTGCCATATAAACATGAAATATTTTCTCCAAGTTTGTTCACTATTTACCCAAAAAAATATATTCTTTATCTANATCCTTATGTTTTGTTTCTGATTAAGAAGTTATTATTATGCTTTGCTCCAGTAATGCAAGTGATGCTCTTGATAAGCTGAGATTTTTAAGTGTGACTGAACCTTCTTTACTTGGAGATGCGGGTGAGCTGGAGATTCGTATCAAACCTGATCCAGACAATGGGACCATCACTATAACGTATGATGTTCTAATTATCTGCTGCAACATTCCCTGGTCAAATGTGCNAACTTTTGAAAACAGAAGAATACTCTAGATTATAAAACCAAATGAATCGAATAAGTTTCAAACAGTTTTATTCTAACATACGCCATGCATCTAATAATTTATCCCATAATTATTAGATGTTTTGGGGCTCATTTTATTTGTTGGTGATACGAATAAGTTTTAAATAAAACAATAATGTGGCAAAATAGATTTTCTATGAGCTTCAAAGACACAAGTTCGTGATAAAAAATTCACTGATTATCAAGCAGAATGACAATGTCATGTAATGTATAATATATGTGTTCCATAAGTCAATGTTATGATAATTTCTCATTATATAAAAGCATCACATAACAATGTGCGCGAGGTGCCATATAAACATGAAATATTTTCTCCAAGTTTGTTCACTATTTACCCAAAAAAATATATTCTTTATCTATTGAGCTTGTAATTCAATTTATGGGTTATTTAAGAAGAGTTAAAACACAATTATTTAGAGATTATACGTTAAACGATTAGCATATATATAGAGTATTTTTTTTAATCAAAGAAATGAGGGATCTTGGGCATGAACATGAGAGTCCTCTATTGGATAATATATGAATTAAGTTATAGTTACTAATCGAGAAGAGCAACTCATCACCACAACACAATCAAAAAGTTAAGCAACAAATTACATTACTCTCGTAAATTGAATTTTACTTGATAAAGTATGAAAGTTAAGAACAATCGTAAATGGGTACGACATAATTAAACTACCTGTTCGGGTGGGTGATTATAGAGAGTATTTTAATTTATGAATTATTTGAGAAAAGGTTTTTTTTGGGAAGGTATTATTTAAAAAAAGTTAAAACACAATTATTTTGGACATATTTTGTCACATTTTTCAGATGATTAACACATACAGAATTAAAAAATATCAGGATATTGCTGTTGCTGAAATGGCAGCATCTACACCTTACAATCCTACCCCCATAAACTTCCAAACAAAACACCCCCTCCCCTCCATCAACTTTGTAGTCCAATTTCTAGAACCATCCACCCCTCTCCTTAAACCCCTTCTGTCAAGGGTTTTCACACCATCTCATCTTCGCCTCTCGCCTACTAGAAAAAAGCACAAACACCATATCTATACCCACCCACATACACGCACTATTATCAATACCCCTTTCTGGGTCTCTATCTATTGTCTCTTTAATGGCGCCTGTGTTGAGTAGAAGTTTGACTTCTGCTTCTGTAGCTTCGTTGCCATATTCTCCTTCGTTTTCAGCGAAGAATAGTAATACCCAGAAGGTGTTGAGTTTGAGAAGTGTTTTTTTACCTAAAAATGGACTGAGAAATAGCTTTTCTAGATCTGGATTGAAGTGGAAGCTGGAAAATAGAGAGAGCAGATTGGTGGTTCGGTGCGAGGCTGTTGTTGCTGAGAAAGAAGCCCCTGAGGAGGCTGGTGAAACGCATGAGTACCAAGCTGAGGTTGGTTGGTTGTATATTTGTGAATTTCGGGGTTTTGGGTCGGAAAGATTTTTGTGTTAAGTCTGTTTGGCTGCTGAGAAAAGGTGGTTGAAACGAAAGAAAATGGAAGTCTGATAGGAACCTGAGAAAATGAAAAGCCCTAATTTGGCTGTGGTGTTGCAATTTTTTGCCTTAACTGAAGTTTTTTCGTCATTGTAGTTGAGGACAGCAATTTTATTCATTTGCAACGGTTAAGTGATGGACAGATAATTTATTTTTACTAAGAACATGCTAAAAATGTATATGTGAGTGTTTGTAAAATGTATTTGTCAGAGTTTATGGTTATAGGTTTCAATCGAACATTTGAGTGGTTTTGTTGGTTGGCTTATTGTTAGCTTGTGGAGTTAAGGAGTTTGTATGTTTTGTTCGAAACTAAGTAGTTTTTGCTTAACTAGTGTTTATAGATTTCTTATGGGTTTTGAAAGTTGAAAACTTTGGTGAATTGCAGGTCAGTCGCTTATTGGATTTGATTGTTCACAGTCTCTACAGTCACAAGGAAGTTTTTCTTCGAGAGCTTGTGAGGTGAGTATGAAGAAGATAAATATATTGGAATGCCTGTCAAAGTTCCTTATGTTTTGTTTCTGATTAATAAGTTATTGTTGTGCTTTGCTCCAGTAATGCAAGTGATGCTCTTGATAAGCTGAGATTTTTAAGTGTGACCGAACCTTCTTTACTTGGAGATGCGGGTGAGCTGGAGATTCGTATCAAACCTGATCCAGACAATGGGACCGTCACTATAACGTATGATGTTCTAATTATCTGCTGCAACATTCCCTGGTCAAATGTGCGTAGTTATCTGAAACACCTTTTCCCTTTTTGCAGGGATACTGGTATCGGGATGACCAAAGAGGAGCTTATAGATTGTCTTGGAACTATTGCTCAGAGTGGTACTTCAAAATTCTTGCAGGCTCTTAAGGTCCATATTCCTCATTACTTCACCTCGACAACATAGTAGAGATTTATTGCCTACCTTGGTTAGATTTTTTAGTTCATTTGAAACCAACAAGTAGACCATCTGGTATGCACAGGACAACAAGGATCTTGGAGCAGACAATGGCTTGATAGGTCAATTTGGTGTTGGTTTCTATTCTGCATTTCTGGTTGCAGAAAAGGTGTGTTTGCATCATTCTTGTGTAATTATGGTTCTTTGACACGACTTTTGGTTTTTTTCATGAGCTGTTGGCTAACTGGGGTTGGACTTATATCTTTTGTGATCAGGTGGTAGTGTCCACGAAGAGTCCAAGGTCAGATAAGCAATATGTTTGGGAATCAGTAGCTGACAGTAGTTCTTATGTGATTAGGGAAGAGACAGATCCTGAAAAGCTCCTGCGACGTGGAACACAAATTACACTCTATTTGAGGGTATTCTCGTTCTTTCTCTGTTGGCATTTTAATGTCATGCAAAAAAAAAAACCAAAAAAAAAAAAGTCAGTGGTATCTCTAGATGTTAATATGGTGGTTGGAAAGGTGATGCATCTTCAGTATCATAATGTTTGATGTGTGTGCATGTGTTACGTGAACGATATTGAGTGATTTATAAAAGAAAGAAAAAATAGAATCGGAGATGAAAACCCGCTTTGAGGCGGTGAAAACCTCCGGTGGTTCAATTCGAGCAGAACTGGATCTCTAAAACTTTCATAAGAAAGTTCAATATAATATTCAACATATTTTTTTCATTGATTGGAAGACCTTTAAATATAAAATAATAAAAACTATTTTAATAACTAACCTAACCCATGACTCCACTATCTTAGTAACCACTTAGGAAACTATCCACAAATTACTCTATCACTAACTTAATTTCTAAAATAATTTTCTAATAATTACTTCTAATATTACATAAAAACATATTAAAAATGTGTACATAACATTCCATTCCTCTTCAAATTAAATTTTGTCCTCAAAGTTTGATTCATCATGTACAAAAAGAGGCGACCAATCCGCTTCCTTGTCCTCATANGCGTCATGCTGCTGCAGTTAGTCATTTTAATATTGGATTTACAATTTTTGCAGGGTGAGGTGGAGTTTAGAAGTGTTTTGTACATTCCTGGAATGGCACCTCTAAATAACGAAGACATTGTAAATCCCAAAACAAAAAATATACGACTATATGTGAAGCGGGTATTTATTTCAGATGATTTTGATGGTGAGCTGGTAAGTGTTACCATTTTACATTGGCTGCCATGAAATTGTCCTGTTTGGTACACATAATAGCCAGGATAGAAATGTTGTTAGCTAAGTAATTTACTTATACTAGTTTTTTTGTTTCTCTTCAGGACAAATTCTTTTCTTTCTGTGAGTTGGTTCCTTGTTCATATACGGTTGACCTTTGTTGTCATACGCATGTTGTTGGAGTTGTAGAATAAAGCCCCAATATCGTCCCACATCCTTGACTTTCTGTTGCATTCAGGATTTTGAAAACATTGTTTGTTGTATTGTATAAACACATTCAAACAAACGTGTCTCTCTTTCTCTTTTCAGGTTAAATTTTCGTTGCAAAAACTGAACCCAATACATTTTTGAATCCCCTTGTTACTGAACCAATTGCTGTTTGAACCCCTTACTCTGCCTGGATTGACCTTTTTTTTTTCTTGATAAATTGGTAGAAGGGTCATCACCATTGTGATTTTTATAGGTAAACCTCCCATTTATATGTAAAATGAGAGCTCTTTATAACAGTCAGCTATTGTCGTTTTCAAATTGAACCACTATTCTGGCATTAATTACAAAAGTTTGTTGAAATCAAGGGTGAAACCAAGTTTCAACAAAGAAGTNTCCGCTTCCTTGTCCTCATAACAATTAGTGTAATATTCGACTCCATAGAGTTTAGCAAGACAAGCGGCAATGAATACGATGGTTGAATGTGTATAGTCAGCTTGAAGATGAGCTCTAATCACATCCTCGAGTCTAATAACAAATAGCCCCATTGGTTGTTTTCTATGCATCTTCATGCATTTGGACAGATAATCTTGCCAGAAATGCCCGATAGTCTCTACTCGAGTCCATCGTCTTCAAGCCTTCAACATGGTAAGATTTCCATAAAAATCTTTCAATTGGGTTGGACCAACTTGTATATGCAACACTTCTTTAAACAAATTTCATATAATCACCTCATTGAGTTTCATGAGTGGTTGACACTCTAAATGCCACCCCTCCCCCCTTTTAGACCACAAACATTTACTAGAGCTATATAGACAATGGCTGTTTGTTTTAGTGCAAAGAATTGTTCGGTTTGGGAAACCACAATTGCATCCTCTTCCTTGCTATCGCATTGCAAAATATTCAGCGTTGTATTTTTGGGGGTTATCAAGTTTGTTAATTCGCCTGTAATAGAATGAAATTGACCATTATTCCTGCTTCCTCCATTGGGTTGGATCGAGCCTTCATCTTGCTCATGGCAGTGAGCTCGGTTGGCCATCAATTGATCAAAGCGATAGTTTATGGCAAGAAATAACACTTGCATCTGCTTCATTATCCTTTCTTGCCCAACTCTTACTGAGCGAACTTTCGCTTCAAGTCTACTAACTCGGTCCTCCATGTCTGGTCCTGATATCAATTGGTATGTGCACACTACGAGGAATTTAGAAAATAAACAAAAAAANTCGTCTAGATCAGGAGTAATTTGTTTCTATCTGGCATAGTGCTGGTGGGAATCACATATTACAAAGCTGAATTATTGAGGATAGACTTTATTTTATAAAATTTCTCTGGCTTGTATTGGTTAAACTTTATTCATAATGGTTGGTCTTCATCCTCTAATACTAGAGTTTTTCTAGGGTGACAATATAATCTCACTTTCTTCTATGACTGTTATTTTTGGACCATGTCCTCTTAGTTTACCATTGTTAACCGTTGTTTCATGGGGTTAAAACTTTTGGCAGGTTGAAGAGGAGGAAGAACCCAAAGAGGGAGAAGAAAAACCAGAGGTAAAACTAAGGTCTAATGTGATATTTGTTCTCTCTCTCTCTCTCTCTCAGAATGGCATTCAATTTGATATTTGGCTTTGTTCTTAGGGAGAGATCAAAAAGACAAAGAAAACCAAAACTGAGAAATATTGGGACTGGGAATTAGCCAACGAAACAAAACCTATATGGGTGAGTTCAAGCTATATCCATCTTAGATAGTCATGGTATATGGTCCTGAGTTTTATTCTCAAGGACTTACTTTGTGCTAGGCTTGTTACTTGTCTAACTTACATTTCCTTGTTGATCGTTTGTGTTTCAAATTGTAGATGCGGAATCCAAAAGAAGTTGAAAAAGATCAGTACCATGAATTTTACAAGAAGACTTTCAATGAATTTTTGGATCCAGTTTCATACATCCACTTCACCACAGAGGTACTTCACTTTTTTTGTGATGGACCACCACTTCATGCTGCTGCAGTTAGTCATTTTAATTTTGGATTTACTATTTTTGCAGGGTGAGGTGGAGTTTAGAAGTGTTTTGTACATTCCTGGAATGGCACCTCTAAACANTAGTCATTTTAATTTTGGATTTACTATTTTTGCAGGGTGAGGTGGAGTTTAGAAGTGTTTTGTACATTCCTGGAATGGCACCTCTAAACAACGAAGACATTGTAAATCCCAAAACAAAAAATATACGACTATATGTGAAGCGGGTATTTATTTCAGATGATTTTGATGGTGAGCTGGTAAGTGTTACCATTTTACATTGGCTGCCATGAAATTGTCCTGTTTGGTACACATAATAGCCAGGATAGAAATGTTGTTAGCTAAGTAATTTACTTATACTAGTTTTTTTGTTTCTCTTCAGGACAAATTCTTTTCTTTCTGTGAGTTGGTTCCTTGTTCATATACGGTTGACCTTTGTTGTCATATGCATGTTGTTGGAGTTGTAGAATAAAGCCCCAATATTGTCCCACATCCTTGACTTTCTGTTGCATTCAGGATTTTGAAAACATTGTTTGTTGTATTGTATAAACACATTCAAACAAATGTGTCTCTCTCTTTCTCTTTACAGGTTAAATTTTCGTTGCAAAAACTGAACCCAATACATTTTTGAATCCCCTTGTTACTAAACCAATTGCTGTTTGAACCCCTTACTCTGCCTGGATTGACCTTTTTTTTTTCTTGNAGTGCAAAGAATTGTTCGGTTTGGGAAACCACAATTGCATCCTCTTCCTTGCTATTGCATTGCAAAATATTCTGCGTTGTATTTTTGGGGGTTATCAAGTTTGTTAATTCGCCTGTGATAGAATGAAATTGACCATTATTCCTGCTTCCTCCATTGGGTTGGATCGAGCCTTCATCTTGCTCATGGCAGTGAGCTCGGTTGGCCATCAATTGATCAAAGCGATAGTTTATGGCAAGAAATAACACTTGCATCTGCTTCATTATCCTTTCTTGCCCAACTCTTAATGAGCGAACTTTCGCTTCAAGTCTACTAACTCGGTCCTCCATGTCTGGTCCNTCTTGCATCTGCTTCATTATCCTTTCTTGCCCAACTCTTACTGAGCGAACTTTCGCTTCAAGTCTACTAACTCGGTCCTCCATGTCTGGTCCTGATATCAATTGGTATGTGCACACTACGAGGAATTTAGAAAATAAACAAAAAAATAGAATCGGGGGAGAAAACCTACTTAGTGGGGGACGAAAACCTCAGATAGTTCAATTTGAGAAGAACCGATTCTCTAAAATTTCCATAAGAAAGGTCAATACAATATTCAACACATTTNACTTAGTGGGGGACGAAAACCTCAGATAGTTCAATTTGAGAAGAACCGATTCTCTAAAATTTCCATAAGAAAGGTCAATACAATATTCAACACATTTTTTTCATTGATAGGAAGACCTTTAAATATAAGATAATAAAAACTATATAGGAAGACCTTTAAATATAAGATAATGAAGACTATCTTAATAACTAACCTAACCCATGACTACACTATATTAGTAACCACTTAGAAAACTACCCACAAATTACTCTTATCACTAACCCACTTACTAAAATAATTTCATAACAATTCCTTCTAATATTACATAAAAATATATTAAAAATGTGTACATAATAGCATTATAGGGAATAATGAATGAATATTGCATCTAATTACTACGAAGGATCATTGGAATCTCTCTCATTTGTTGGGTCGTATCAGGATGTTGAAATATATGGTATATAGTCCCTGTTTTATTTTTTGATTCCGACTTGTGTGGTAACAAATAAAGGGATTTTGTGATACTGTTTTACAGCTGTATTCTTGTTAGCTCCAAATGCAATCTAATATGCTGTCTTTCTTGCAGTCGGATGACAAGTATGAATTCTCAGAGCCAGCCAGGATTCAGAATTTGGTGAAAAATTACTCACAGTTTGTTTCCTTTCCCATTTACACGTGGCAAGAAAAATCAAGGACCGTTGAGGTGAGATTCTTCGTCTAGATCAGGAGTAATTTGTTTCTATCTGGCATAGTGCTGGTGGGAATCACATATTACAAAGCTGAATTATTGAGGAAAGATTTTTTTTTATAAAATTTCTCTGGCTTGTATTGGTTAAACTTTATTCATAATGGTTGGTCTTCATCCTCTAATACTAGAGTTTTTCTAGGGTGACAATATAATCTCACTTTCTTCTATGACTGTTATTTTTGGACCATGTCCTCTTAGTTTACCATTGTTAACCGTTGTTTCATGGGGTTAAAACTTTTGGCAGGTTGAAGAGGAGGAAGAACCCAAAGAGGGAGAAGAAAAACCAGAGGTAAAACTAAGGTCTAATGTGATATTTGTTCTCTCTCTCTCTCTCAGAATGGCATTCAATTTGATATTTGGCTTTGTTCTTAGGGAGAGATCAAAAAGACAAAGAAAACCAAAACTGAGAAATATTGGGACTGGGAATTAGCCAACGAAACAAAACCTATATGGGTGAGTTCAAGCTATATCCATCTTAGATAGTCATGGTATATGGTCCTGAGTTTTATTCTCAAGGACTTACTTTGTGCTAGGCTTGTTACTTGTCTAACTTACATTTCCTTGTTGATCGTTTGTGTTTCAAATTGTAGATGCGGAATCCAAAAGAAGTTGAAAAAGATCAGTACCATGAATTTTACAAGAAGACTTTCAATGAATTTTTGGATCCAGTTTCATACATCCACTTCACCACAGAGGTACTTCACTTTTTTTGTGATGGACCACCGCGTCATGCTGCTGCAGTTAGTCATTTTAATATTGGATTTACAATTTTTGCAGGGTGAGGTGGAGTTTAGAAGTGTTTTGTACATTCCTGGAATGGCACCTCTAAATAACGAAGACATTGTAAATCCCAAAACAAAAAATATACGACTATATGTGAAGCGGGTATTTATTTCAGATGATTTTGATGGTGAGCTGGTAAGTGTTACCATTTTACATTGGCTGCCATGAAATTGTCCTGTTTGGTACACATAATAGCCAGGATAGAAATGTTGTTAGCTAAGTAATTTACTTATACTAGTTTTTTTGTTTCTCTTCAGGACAAGTTCTTTTCTTTCTGTGAGTTGGTTCCTTGTTCATATACGGTTGACCTTTGTTGTCATACGCATGTTGTTGGAGTTGTAGAATAAAGCCCCAATATCGTCCCACATCCTTGACTTTCTGTTGCATTCAGGATTTTGAAAACATTGTTTGTTGTATTGTATAAACACATTCAAACAAACGTGTCTCTCTNATGCAACACTTCTTTAAACAAATTTCATATAATCACCTCATTGAGTTTCATGAGTGGTTGACACTCTAAATGCCACCCCTCCCCCCTTTTAGACCACAAACATTTACTAGAGCTATATAGACAATGGCTGTTTGTTTTAGTGCAAAGAATTGTTCGGTTTGGGAAACCACAATTGCATCCTCTTCCTTGCTATCGCATTGCAAAATATTCAGCGTTGTATTTTTGGGGGTTATCAAGTTTGTTAATTCGCCTGTAATAGAATGAAATTGACCATTATTCCTGCTTCCTCCATTGGGTTGGATCGAGCCTTCATCTTGCTCATGGCAGTNGCGTTGTATTTTTGGGGGTTATCAAGTTTGTTAATTCGCCTGTAATAGAATGAAATTGACCATTATTCCTGCTTCCTCCATTGGGTTGGATCGAGCCTTCATCTTGCTCATGGCAGTGAGCTCGGTTGGCCATCAATTGATCAAAGCGATAGTTTATGGCAAGAAATAACACTTGCATCTGCTTCATTATCCTTTCTTGCCCAACTCTTAATGAGCGAACTTTCGCTTCAAGTCTACTAACTCGGTCCTCCATGTCTGGTCCTGATATCAATTGTTATGTGCACACTACGAGGAATTTAGAAAATAAACAAAAAAAATAGAATCGGGGGAGAAAACCCANACAAAATAATGTTTTGTTTGATTCTATTTGCTGTTGAGAATTTATTACTGCCTGCTATGAAGGTTTTTTAATCACCATCTTCACTTGGTTTTGTTTTCTCAATCCAGGTGAGAATAATGAGAAAGAGACTTGTGAGGAAAACATTTGACATGATTCAAGAGCTCTCTGAAAGTGAGAATAAAGAGGTAAGTTTTTAGTTAAAAAATTGTTTTATTTGACATTTTACCTTAGAAATCACTTTTGAACTGGTAAATCAATTATGTTATCTTAGGATTACAAAAAATTCTGGGAGAACTTTGGTAAGTTTGTAAAGTTGGGGTGCATTGAAGATTCTGGAAATCACAAGCGGATCACGCCACTATTGCGATTTTTCTCTTCCAAAAGCGAGGAGGAGTTGATAAGCTTAGATGAGTATGTGGAAAATATGGGTGAGAACCAGAAGGCCATCTATTATTTGGCATCAGACAGCTTGAAAAGCGTCAAGTCTGCTCCTTTCTTGGAGAAGTTGATCCAAAAGGATATTGAGGTATGTTCATTTAAAGTCTAGTGGTATGCAATTTAAGCTTTTTTGATGAGAGAATGTGAGGCGTTTAGGCTCTAAGTGCCTTTGGATACGTCATGAAAAAGTATTAAGCAACAAAAATTATGTGTATATTCTATTGGACAGTTATAACTGCCTTCTGTGTGGAATTGTTTAACATATACTTTACAGAAGTTGGTGATGATAGCAGTCAAACTCCTTAAATGTTCTCTTCTCTCTTCCTTTTGAATTTTTTAGGAGGGGAGTTGCATCTCATTGTACATTTTTTTTTCCTTTTTTAATTTTTTTTATTGACGCTATCACCTTCTATAGGTGCACACATTCATGTGATGTTCCACTCATTCTTGATTGCTGATATGCAGGTACTGTACCTAATTGAGCCAATTGATGAAGTTGCAATTCAGAATCTGCAGACATATAAAGAAAAGAAATTTGTTGACATTAGCAAGGAAGATTTGGAGCTTGGTTAGTGATAAATCATGCTGTGTGACTGCATATGCCAGTGGTTTGAGTAGTGATTTGTGTAGTTTCCCCTGATTTGATGTGCTCTGCATGCTCCTTTTCTCACGACATAGGCTGTTCTCACAGGTGATGAGGATGAGGTCAAGGAAAGGGAAACTAAGCAAGAGTACATTCTTCTGTGTGACTGGATAAAGCAACAACTTGGTGATAAAGTGGCAAAAGTGCAAGTCTCGAAACGTCTAAGTTCATCCCCGTGTGTGCTTGTTTCTGGAAAGTTTGGGTGGTCTGCTAATATGGAAAGGTTTGTTTTCAAATGCAGATTATCAATGCAGATGCTTGCAGTGGATCTCACTCTCTAATTTTCGAAGTGATTTTTGTTAAAATCTCCGCCATTTGACAGATTGATGAGAGCACAGACCCTAGGAGACACTTCAAGCTTGGAGTTCATGAGGGGGAGGAGAATATTGGAGATTAATCCTGATCACCCAATCGTCAAAGACCTCAATGTAAGACGAATCTAATCACTGCTCGTAGCTATGCTAAAACATGCAATTAACAGTTGGAAGTGTGATTTCTCTTGATCTTTTGTTATTTGCCCACTTAAGATTAGAAAATGGGAGAATTCTTGGACATCAATTGGAGAAATTTTACTTGACAAGTAGTGAGCAATTTGGTATGGAAAACTACATGAAACCAAACCAAATTTTATGTCCCAATCATTTGGGGTTGGCTATATGCTTCTGTCATCACTATTTATTTCGAACATGCGCTGCTCATATCAATCATAAGCAACATAATCGTAAGCAATTTTAATTTATTGGTTTGATGTAACTTTTATTTCTTAATCATTAATAAAGTGTTTGGTTTCTTATCAAAAAAAAATAATAATAATAATATAAGCAATTTTAATAGACCACAATAGTTTAAAAAATAGATCCTGTACCTGGGTTTTTGTATTTAGAAATTCACCGGAAAAAGAATTTTGTGTTGTTAAAACTACTATTTCATTTTGTGTTACTGAGAAAATCACCTGAAAAATAAAAGCAGGGTTTGATATGGGTATAGTAGTTAACAAATGGAAAGTATATATATGCTCATGCACGTCCCTTAAGCATGGTTTAAAGTTGCAACAATGAAGATACTGGGGATCCAATATAAACTGAAAACTGGGACTACAGGGTATGTCTATAACTAGCTTCATTTCGGCTATTGTTGTTGCAGGCTGCATGCAAGAATGCACCCGATAGCACTGATGCCAAGAGAGCTGTGGACCTCTTATATGATACAGCATTGATTTCTAGTGGATTTTCTGTAAGGCCAAAATAGAACCTTGTTTATCTTTCTTTTATGCTTCTTTTGTCCCGAGGCTGCTGACAGTAGATTATAATGTGATTTCCTTTTATTCTTCTTTTACTGCACAGCCTGACAGTCCTGCTGAGTTAGGGAATAAGATATACGAGATGATGGCAATGGCCCTTGGAGGAAGGTGGGGGAGATTGGAGGAAGACGAGGAGGTGGAGGCACAGGAAGATAGTTCCTCAGAATTGAAGGAGAGCTATACTGAAGCCTCGGAGACAGAAGTCATCGAGCCATCAGAAGTGAGGTCTGAGAGTGATCCTTGGAGTGATTGATAGGTCTTCTTCCCCACTATGTTCTAGCATTCTTGTAGCAATATGCCATTAGTGCTGTGTCAAGTAGAGTGATTTGTGGTTGAGGAGTCAAGAGAGACCAAGGGATAGAAATTTTATGGCTGATAAATTTTGTGTTAACATAGTTGTCAAAATTTGCTTTGTTTCAATAAATGCTTGTTTCAATCTTTTACAAATAAGGAAAATTGGAAAAAATATATATATGTGACGCGTTTTGGCGTTACCCCATATCCAAGTAAATCTTTTGTATAAGGTCATGCCATTTTTGTTAATGATTATGAAGAAATGGATGGTAAGTGCAGCATTGTTGATGCATGTGACACGACGATATGATGACTGTGTGTATGGTAAATGATTTTACATAACTAGCATAATTCACCACCCCTCTAATTTTGTGTAGTCGATTTTTTCTAGGTTTTTTGTTACATAATGAGTATTAAACATGTACTTAATACTTCTCTTTTGTTGTTTAACGACAGTTTCATGGTGTATAAGGTTATGATATGAGTAATTTGTGGTAAGTTTGGAAGTATGATACGATACTTTCCTTGGAATTTTGTTTTCCGTTCGAACACTCAGGAATTTATAGTTCATTAGTCTAAGAGGAAAAATAATTATTTTTTTTTGTCTATTTACAATGGATTGTGTTGAACTCAGTTGATTTTTTGAGAAAATAAAAGCTTCTGATATTAAGATTTTTTTAAAAAAAATTTCTCATTAATTATTTAGTAATTCAAGAGTTGAATTGTTAGACTCTTAACTCTTGCCTTATGTACAACAAAATTAATGATTATTTTTTCTACAAAAATAATAAAAAAAAACAGTTGAAAGGCACAAAAATAACATTATCCCATGAACAGAAAAGAATGAATCTTTAAGTTTGAATTTTGACAATTTTTTAGGGTTAGGGTTAGGTTATGAGAATTTTAATCCTTTATGAATACCTTAATTTTAGTGTGAATGATATGTCTTTGACCAAACCGGATAGGAGATTAATTAAATTACACGTAAATTAATTCAGATATCATTAACCGTTTTTTTTTTGGCTTGTGAAAAATGAGGTGAGGGCANAAGAGATTAATTAAATTACGCGTAAATTAGTTTAGATATCATTAATCAAATTTTTTTTTTTTTTGGCTTGGGAAAAATGAGGTGAGAGTAAATGAGAACGCCTAAAAATCATCCCAATAGGCCTTTACTAATAAAATCTTGACACTCTTAATCATTGAACTTAAAAAAAGAGAGAGTGTTATCTATACTATTAATAAAGTACTTTTAACATAAAAAAATTTTAATTCACTATTTTACCCTTATAAATAATTAAAAAAGTTCACTCTATCGTTCCACACTTAATATCTAAATTACCATCATATCCTTATGTATTTAAATCTCCAAATTACATCTAAAATTATTTTTAATTATATATTCCCTATGTATAAACGTCAATTTTTATGAAATTTTTTAATTGCTTATATTACTCTTAAAAAATATATACATAATTATAAGTTTTAACAAAATATTCAAAAAAAATTTCAAAAATTCCATCAACATAATATTATTCACCTCATTTATAAAAATAATATTATGATTACATATGTATATTTTATTTTTCATCAAAATGTATTGTATATTTTATTTTTAACAAAAAATGTTTAACCCTTTTATTTTTAAGATAAAAAAAATGTATATATAGTTTTATATAATTTTGTAGTCACAGTAAATTTTTTATATTGTGTTAAGATTTTATGTGAAAACTTGAATTATTTTTGAATTTTAATATACTTTATAATATATAATATAAAATTGTATATAAATTTTATCCCAATTTACCAAGATAATCCTAAATATAGTAAGGTTTCAATACGATTGGTATATTGATAATTATTTTTATTTTATTCAATGATTTATAAGTAAAATCTTAATCAAATTAATTTTTTAATCATCTATTCTGTATTTATAAATGTNTTTACAAATAAGGAAAATTGGAAAAAATATATATATGTGACGCGTTTTGGCGTTACCCCATATCCAAGTAAATCTTTTGTATAAGGTCATGCCATTTTTGTTAATGATTATGAAGAAATGGATGGTAAGTGCAGCATTGTTGATGCATGTGACACGACGATGTGATGACTGTGTGTATGGTAAATGATTTTACATAACTAGCATAATTCACCACCCCTCTAATTTTGTATAGTCGATTTTTTCTAGGTTTTTTGTTACATAATGAGTATTAAACATGTACTTAATACTTCTCTTTTGTTGTTTAACGACAGTTTCATGGTGTATAAGGTTATGATATGAGTAATTTGTGGTAAATTTGGAAGTATGATACGATACTTTCCTTGCAATTTTGTTTTCCGTTCGAACACTCAGGAATTTATAGTTCATTAGTCTAAGGGGAAAAATAATTACTTTTTTTTTTCTATTTACAATGGATTGTGTTGAACTCAGTTGATTTTTTGAGAAAATAAAAGCTTTTGATATTAAGATTTTTTTTAAAAAAATTTCTCATTAATTATTTAGTAATTCAAGAGTTGAATTGTTAGACTCTTAACTCTTGCCTTATGTACAGCAAAATCAACAAAATTAATGATTATTTTTTCTACAAAAATAATAAAAAAAACAGTTGGAAGGCACAAAAATAACATTATCCCATGAACAGAAAAGAATGAATCTTTAAGTTTGAATTTTGACAATTTTTTAGGGTTAGGGGTTAGGTTATGAGAATTTTAATCCTTTATGAATACCTTAATTTTAGTGTGAATAATATGTCTTTGACCAAACCGGATAAGAGATTAATTAAATTACGCGTAAATTAGTTTAGATATCATTAATCAATTTTTTTTTTTTTTGGCTTGGGAAAAATGAGGTGAGAGTAAATGAGAACGCCTAAAAATCATCCCAATAGGCCTTTACTAATAAAATCTTGACACTCTTAATCATTGAACTTAAAAAAAGAGAGAGTGTTATCTATACTATTAATAAAGTACTTTAACATAAAAAAATTTTAATTCACTATTTTACCCTTATAAATAATTAAAAAAGTTCACTCTATCATTCCACACTTAATATCTAAATTACCATCATATCCTTATGCATTTAAATCTCCAAATTACATCTAAAATTATTTTTAATTATATATTCCCTATGTATAAACGTCAATTTTTATGAAACTTTTTAATTGCTTATATTACTCTTAAAAAATATATGCATAATTATAAGTTTTAACAAAATATTCAAAAAAATTTCAAAAATTCCATCAACATAATATTATTCACCTCATTTATAAAAATAATATTATGATTACATATGTATATTTTATTTTTCATCAAAATGTATTGTATATTTTATTTTTAACAAAAAATGTTTAACCCTTTTATTTTTAAGATAAAAAAAAATGTATATATAGTTTTATATAATTTTGTAGTCACAGTAAATTTTTTATATTGTGTTAAGAATTTATGTGAAAACTTGAATTATTTTTGAATTTTAATATACTTTATAATATATAATATAAAATTGTATATTAAATTTTATCCCAATTTACCAAGATAATCCTAAATATAATAAGGTTTCAATACGATTGGTATATTGATAATTATTTTTATTTTATTCAATGATTTATAAGTAAAATCTTAATCAAATTAATTTTTTAATCATCTATTCTGTATTTATAAATGTCAATTTTTATGAAACTTTTTGATTAATTATATTAATCTTAAAATATATATGCATTATTACAAGTTTTAAAATATTCAAAAAAAAACCTTCAAAAACTCCATCAATATAATATTACTCATCTCATTTATAAAGATAATATTATGATTACATATATATATTATTTTTTGTCAAAATGTTGAATCATTTTATTTTTAAGNAAGTTTTAAAATATTCAAAAAAAAAACCTTCAAAAACTCCATCAATATAATATTACTCATCTCATTTATAAAGATAATATTATGATTACATATATATATTATTTTTTGTCAAAATGTTGAATCATTTTATTTTTAAGATAAAAATTATGTATATATAGTTTTACATGATTTTTTAGTCACAATAAACTTTTTAAATTGTGTTAAGATTTTATGTGAAAACTNTCAACAAAATTAATGATTATTTTTTCTACAAAAATAATAAAAAAAACAGTTGGAAGGCACAAAAATAACATTATCCCATGAACAGAAAAGAATGAATCTTTAAGTTTGAATTTTGACAATTTTTTAGGGTTAGGGGTTAGGTTATGAGAATTTTAATCCTTTATGAATACCTTAATTTTAGTGTGAATAATATGTCTTTGACCAAACCGGATAAGAGATTNTTATATATTGAATTTTATCTTAATTGACATAACTAATCCTAAATACAGTAAGAGTTATAATACGATTGATATATTGATAATTATTTTTTATTTTATTCANTCTTTGACCAAACCGGATAAGAGATTAATTAAATTACGCGTAAATTAGTTTAGATATCATTAATCAATTTTTTTTTTTTTTGGCTTGGGAAAAATGAGGTGAGAGTAAATGAGAACGCCTAAAAATCATCCCAATAGGCCTTTACTAATAAAATCTTGACACTCTTAATCATTGAACTTAAAAAAAGAGAGAGTGTTATCTATACTATTAATAAAGTACTTTAACATAAAAAAATTTTAATTCACTATTTTACCCTTATAAATAATTAAAAAAGTTCACTCTATCGTTCCACACTTAATATCTAAATTACCATCATATCCTTATGTATTTAAATCTCCAAATTACATCTAAAATTATTTTTAATTATATATTCCCTATGTATAAACGTCAATTTTTATGAAATTTTTTAATTGCTTATATTACTCTTAAAAAATATATACATAATTATAAGTTTTAACAAAATATTCAAAAAAAATTTCAAAAATTCCATCAACATAATATTATTCACCTCATTTATAAAAATAATATTATGATTACATATGTATATTTTATTTTTCATCAAAATGTATTGTATATTTTATTTTTAACAAAAAATGTTTAACCCTTTTATTTTTAACATAAAAAAAATGTATATATAGTTTTATATAATTTTGTAGTCACAGTAAATTTTTTATATTGTGTTAAGATTTTATGTGAAAACTTGAATTATTTTTGAATTTTAATATACTTTATAATATATAATATAAAATTGTATATAAATTTTATCCCAATTTACCAAGATAATCCTAAATATAGTAAGGTTTCAATACGATTGGTATATTGATAATTATTTTTATTTTATTCAATGATTTATAAGTAAAATCTTAATCAAATTAATTTTTTAATCATCTATTCTGTATTTATAAATGTCAATTTTTATGAAACTTTTTGATTAATTATATTAATCTTAAAATATATATGCATTATTACAAGTTTTAAAATATTCAAAAAAAAAACCTTCAAAAACTCCATCAATATAATATTACTCATCTCATTTATAAAGATAATATTATGATTACATATATATATTATTTTTTGTCAAAATGTTGAATCATTTTATTTTTAAGATAAAAATTATGTATATATAGTTTTACATGATTTTTTAGTCACAATAAACTTTTTAAATTGTGTTAAGATTTTATGTGAAAACTTAAATTTTTTAAAAATTTTAATCTGTTTTATAATATATATTATGGTATTATATATTGAATTTTATCTTAATTGACATAACTAATCCTAAATACAGTAAGAGTTATAATACGATTGATATATTGATAATTATTTTTTATTTTATTCAATAATTTATAAGTGAAATCTTAATCAAATCAATTTTAAAAAATTTAATTTTCAAACATCACTAAAAAACCACTTTCAATTACAAACTTATAAAAAAAATAGAATTTTAATTATTTATTTTATTTTATTTTTTTATCATTTTTCTTAAAGTTAGAATAATAAATCTTGAAAACAAATAAAATTTTCAAAAATTCTATAATGGAGCATGAGCGATGAAAAAATAAGTTTGATATATTTGAAATGATATTTAATTCAGATACACATATAAAAAATATTTATTTATTAATTTTTAAAAAAAAAATTAGTGGTGCACGTGATGTATTATTAGTTAGTATAAATATATGATGTGATATTATTTCATCTTTTAAATTGCNTCTAAAATTATTTTTAATTATATATTCCCTATGTATAAACGTCAATTTTTATGAAACTTTTTAATTGCTTATATTACTCTTAAAAAATATATGCATAATTATAAGTTTTAACAAAATATTCANGTGATGTATTATTAGTTAGTATAAATATATGATGTGATATTATTTCATCTTTTAAATTGCAAGTGTGAAGTGGGTCGATCCATCGGTTTAAACAATTGAACCGAAATCAGAAACCCACCAGCTTCTAACGGGTCAAGTTAACTTGGAGGCTTGGACGGACTTCACTCCAATGGATACAGCGTAGGTTTAAGGAAGGTTTAAGGCGGCTACACCTTGTGAGTCGCCCCTCCGCTCTCTCTCTATCTCTCTGCCTCTCCCTCTCTGTATCTCGATCTGTCGACCGATCTATCGATCCCATTGTACTGAACTCTTTTCCCCAATATCACCAGTACTCTCACTTTGATTGTCTGCTCCAAAAAATTTCCCAGAAAATTTGCAAACNAAAATGTATTGTATATTTTATTTTTAACAAAAAATGTTTAACCCTTTTATTTTTAAGATAAAAAAAAATGTATATATAGTTTTATATAATTTTGTAGTCACAGTAAATTTTTTATATTGTGTTAAGAATTTATGTGAAAACTTGAATTATTTTTGAATTTTAATATACTTTATAATATATAATATAAAATTGTATATTAAATTTTATCCCAATTTACCAAGATAATCCTAAATATAATAAGGTTTCAATACGATTGGTATATTGATAATTATTTTTATTTTATTCAATGATTTATAAGTAAAATCTTAATCAAATTAATTTTTTAATCATCTATTCTGTATTTATAAATGTCAATTTTTATGAAACTTTTTGATTAATTATATTACTCTTAAAATATATATGCATTATTACAAGTTTTAAAATATTCAAAAAAAAACCTTCAAAAACTCCATCAATATAATATTACTCATCTCATTTATAAAGATAATATTATGATTACATATATATATATTTTATTTTTTGTCAAAATGTTCAATCATTTTATTTTTAAGATAAAAATTATGTATATATAGTTTTACATAATTTTTTAGTCACAATAAACTTTTTAAATTGTGTTAAGATTTTGTGTGAAAATTTAAATTTTTTAAAAATTTTAATCTGTTTTATAATATATATTATGGTATTATATATTGAATTTTATCTTAATTGACATAACTAATCCTAAATACAGTAAGAGTTCTAATACGATTGGTATATTGATAATTATTTTTTATTTTATTTAATAATTTATAAGTGAAATCTTAATCAAATCAATTTTAAAAAATTTAATTTTCAAACATCACTAAAAAATCACTTTCAATTACAAACTTATAAAAAAAAATAGAATTTTAATTATTTATTTTATTTTATTTTTTATCATTTTTCTTAAAGTTAGAATAATAAATCTTGAAAACAAATAAAATTTTCAAAAATTCTATAATAGAGCATGAGCGATGAAAAAATAAGTTTGATATATTTGAAATGATATTTAATTCAGATGCACATATAAAAAATATTTATTTATTAATTTTTTTTAAAAAAATTAGTGGTGCACGTGGTGTATTATTAGTTATAATAAATATATGATGTGATATTATTTCATCTTTTAAATTGCAAGTGTGAAGTGGGTCGATCCATCGGTTTAAACAATTGAACCGAAATCAGAAACCCACCAGCTTCTAACGGGTCAAGTTAACTTGGAGGCTTGGACGGACTTCACTCCAATGGATACAGCGTAGGTTTAAGGAAGGTTTAAGGCGGCTACACCTTGTGAGTCGCCCCTCCGCTCTCTCTCTCTCTCTCTGCCTCTCCCTCTCTGTATCTCGATCTGTCGACCGATCTATCGATCCCATTGTACTGAACTCTTTTCCCCAATATCACCAGTACTCTCACTTTGATTGTCTCTGCTCCAAAAAATTTCCCAGAAAATTTGCAATCTTTTTGGATATCCTGTATCATTCTTTTTTAAGTTATCCCATTCAAGTTTTAATAAATAAATCCCCAAGATGCGGAGAAGTTTATACAGACAAGCTTATTTGAAGAAATTGAGGCTCTCCCCTGAGTCCTGCTGGTCTTTCTTACCTTCTTCTAACTTGGTAAAATATCCTCAAGGTTCACACTTTCCCCAGAAAACTACACTATCTGACAGCCAATCCCAATTCCATTCTTCATCTACAGAAGTGGGTTTTCCCCGAATTGGTGAATCATTTTCTCGGACTCACCACATGGGTATATTTAATGTCACAAAATCTGGCGACCCTTTAAGTTTTTCTGGGTCTTGTGGTTATCCAAGGGATTATGCAAGTGTTGCTGAGGCCATTGTTTCGACTTCAGAAGAAGACATTGACGAAATTCAAGAATTACAAGAGGAAATGAGCAAAGAAAATAACGCTAGGGAACCAAATTTTCAACAGGCGAAGCAGCCAAAATTGGTGGGTGGGATGGGGATAGGAAAGTACACTATACTTAGGAGAAGACAAATGAAGATGGAGACTGAAGCATGGCAAGAGGCGGCTAAGGAGTACCAGGAGCTTCTAATGGACATGTGCGAGCAAAAACTTGCACCCAATTTGCCTTATATAAAGTCATTGTTTTTGGGCTGGTTTGAGCCAGTGAAAGATGCAATAGCAGCTGAGCAAGCGTTGTGCAAGGAAGGGAAAAATCGGACTGCTTATGCTATGTACTTTGATCATTTACCGGCAGATATGATGGCAGTCATTACTATGCATAAGCTGATGGGGTTGTTGATGACTGAGGGAGGAAATGGCAGTGCCAGAGTGGTGCAAGCTGCTTGCCAGATTGGTGAAGCCATTGAGCAAGAGGTTGGTTGCTTGAGGATTTTTCAGTTTTCCATTGTATTTTGCGTGTGTGTGTTTTCCTGTAGTTGGGTTGCTTTTGATTATATTGAAACTGTTGTAGCACCATTTTGGTGCTAACTTTGCCAGTGACATGGTAAGGGCGAACACTTGGAAACAAGCTTAACTCCATGATAATAGTGTATTTAGGTTTCTTTATTGTAACTATGACCTATAAACTATATGTTCAATAATAATTGAGAATGCTTATTTGCTTTGCATAATTTTAAGTTTCAATTAAATGAGATCATATTATTTGGTTTTAACCAACCAATAGAATTATTCTGCTATTCTCTTCCTTAACATTATTAATTGAAGACCGCAATATAAACTAGAATATGTTGGAAGATTGAATGCTGGTAAGTTTGGAAGATTAACACAATATTAGAGACAATATTTAGGGAGAAAGAGAGAGGTTAACAACATAACCTAGCTCTCATATAACACTTATATTTATAGTTAATTCACAATAATAAGAATTACACATACACCCTCTTACTATTAACAATTTATATATACTATCCTAATATTCTTAACACTCCCCCTCAAGCTGGACTATATATATCATATAATCCAAGTTTGGAACAAATCGTTGTAAGACGTGTACGACTCAATGCTTTGATAAACATATCTGCAAGTTGATCTTCAGATTTCACAAATGAAGTTGTAATCTTCCCAGCTACTATCTTGTCCCGAATAAAGTGACAATCAACCACAATATGCTTGGTTCTCTTGTGAAACACCAGATTGGCAGTGATATGGATAACTGCCTGGTTGTCATAGAACAACTGTAAAGGAAGTTGAACTGAATATCCAATTTCCTAGAGGAAGTGTAGTAGCCAAGTCAACTCACTCGTTGTATGTGCCATTGCCCTATACTCAGCCTTAACACTGGATCTTGCTACCACGGATTGTTTCTTACTCTTCCATGAAACAACGTTACCTCCTAAGAAAGTACAATAACCAGTGGTTGGTCTCCGATCAGAAGGAGAGCCAGTCCAATTAGCATCTGAGAAACCTTCCACTTCAAGATGTCCATTAGCTTGATATAACAGTCCAAGTCTAGGAGCTCGTTTGAGATATCGTAGAATATGAGTAACTGCCTCCCAATGTGGTACTCTAGGACACCCCATGAACTGACTTATTATACTGACTGCATAGGAAATATCCGGTCGAGTAATAGTGAGATAATTGAGCTTCTCAACCAATTTGCGATACCGACCTGGATTCTCAAACAGTGCACCGTTATCCATCAAAAGTTTTTGATTCGGATCTATAAGAACATCAATAGGTCTGCCACCTAGCAAACCTGGTTCCTCTAGCATGTTAAGTACATATTTCCTCTGGGATAAACAAATACCCAGTTTAGATCGAGCCATCTCAATACCCAAGAAATACCTGAGTTTTTCTAAATTCTTAGTATAAAATCGATCCTGCAAGAATATTTTTAACTTGACAATCCCCTCATAATCATTTTCAATAATCAGAATATCATCTACATAAACCACCAATAGAACATATTCAACATCTGTCTGTCTATAAAACACATAATGATCTGTCTGACATCAAAGAAGACCAAACTCTAAAACTGCATCTGAAAACTTACCAAACTATGCCCTCAGTGACTGCTTCAAACTATACAAAGATTTTTTAACCGACATACACTCTTACCATACCTCTCCTGAGCAGTAAATCCAGGTGGCTGCTACATGTATACCTATTCAACTAAGTCACCATGTAGGAAGACATTCTTGACATCTAACTGAAACAAGGGCCAATCAAGATTAACAGCCAAAGAAATCAAGATACGAACTGAAGAAATTTTGGCAACAGGAGAGAAAGTCTACTCATAATCAACACCATAAGTCTGAGTAAAACCCTTTGCAACAAGTCTGGCTTTGAGACGCTCTACAAAATCATCCGGATGAAATTTAACAGTATACACCCAACGACAACCAACAGTTCGTTTACCAGGAGGTAAAGGAACGAGATCCCAAGTCCCGTTATGATGTAAGGCATCCATCTTCTCCTTCATAGCTTTCCTCCAACCCGGATCAGGTAATGCATCCTGTAAATGCTTAGGAATAGATATAGTAGATAATTTGGAAGTAAAACAAGAGAAGGCAGGAGACAAAGCATCATATGAAATAAAATGAGTAATAGGATGATTAGTAACACACGAACGAGTACCTTTCCAAAGAGCAATAGGTAAAGAGTCTAAATTACCTGATATACCGGGATCAGAAGGCGGCAAGGAAGACGGTACGGACACCTCAGTCGATGGGCGAGGACAGTGAGAGTAGACACGGAGAGGTAAAATAGATGGTAATATAGTGGGCAACGGAATATCTGAAGATGAGGAAAGAGATGATGGCATAGGAGATGACCCAAAGTCTAGATCCAAAGGCTAAGAATGTGCTAGAAAATATGGAACAGATTCCTCAAACGTGACATCGGCACTAGTAAAGTATCGGTGCAGAGAAGGACTGTAGCAACGATACCCCTTCTGCGTACGAAAGTAACCAAGAAATACACATTTGGTAGCTTTAGGGTCACGTTTGTCGAATCCAGGACCCAAATTGTGAACATAACAGACACATCAAAAAACTTTAGGAGTCAGGAAAAATAAGGGTTTATTAGGAAAAAGAACAGAATATGGGTTTTGCTCATTTAATACAGAGGATGACATACGATTAATAAGGTGACAAGCAGTAAGAATAACATCACTCCAAAAATATCGGAGAATATTCATCTGAAATAACAGGGCACGAGTGACTTTCAATANCCTATTACAGAGCATTTATTGCATCCTCCCCGAGAGGAGCCTATTGTACCGTCGGCATCCCGACGACTCAGCATTGATTGCTCGGGACCCCGAGCAGTCAATTAGAGAAGACATTCCTGATCAGAATCAATGCNGTAAGCACAAGAAGTCTGATGAATAATGTTAGTTTTACTAAGATAAGCTGAAAAAGGATCAGATTCATATTCTCGAGTATTATTGGAACGTAAAATACGTATACGAGAACCATACTGAGTTTTTATTTCCTTACGAAAGGTCTTAAATATAGAGAACAATTCAGACCGNACTGACAGCAATCATGAGCTTTTAAGGTATAAATACTCCTCCCAAAAGGCAAAGATGGTATGCAACAACAAACTCTCTACTACAATACATTTTGCTTANAGCTTTCATAAAAAATAACCAAGTCACACGAGAATAGTTATCCACAAATGTCACAATATAAGGGTATTTATTAGATGAAATATTCTTTATGGGACCCCATACATCAGAATATACTAACTCAAATGGACTAGACACACGATTATTGACTCTAGATTGAAAAGACACACGGTAATGCTTACTAAGTTGNACAAAATAAGGATATTTATTAGATGAAATATTCTTTATGGGACCCCATACATCAGAATATACTAACTCAAATGGACTAGACACACGATTATTGACTCTAGATTGAAAAGACACACGGTAATGCTTACTAAGTTGACAGGCTTCACAAGACAAAGACGACACATAGCTAAGGCTGGGAACTTGACGCTTTAGATTCTGGAGAGAGGGATGTCCAAGACGACAATGCCATTGAAAAGGAGACAACGAGGTTTGTAGGGCCTGGATAGGTGAATCAAAGTCAAGGTAATATAGGCCATCAACTTCATGTCCCGTACTAATCTTCCTCTTCGTCTTAAGATCCTGAAAGACACAATAAGAGGGATAAAAGGTTACGGAACAATTCAGAGAACGAGTAATCTTACTAATGAAAAGTAAACTAAAAAGAAATTAAGGAACAAATAACACGGAAGATAGGGATATATTAGGACTCAAGTGAGTAGTCCCCAGACGTGAAACTTTAGAACAAGTACCATTAGCAAGAGTAACACTACGTGTGGAAGTAGCAGACTGATAAGTAGAAAAAACATCAGACGAACCAGTCATGTGATCAGAAGCTTCAAAGTCTATGATCCAGGGACTACGAGTGGAGAATAATAAATAAATGGAAGCAATACCTGACTGGGCAAAATTAGCAGTGGAAGGAGATGGGACAGGAACTGAGCATATTCCTCTCGTGTAATAGTAACCAACTCCAGTGCCTTGCTTGGGTTTCATGAGTGTAGCAAATAGAAAAAGAAAATCACTAGATCACTGAACCGAACAAGAATCACCTACTACACTGCTGAACCGAAGAGGAAAAGATTGTTGGATCACCAATCCGGGCTGGAGAATCTCACTGGAATGCTGAACCGGATCTGATAAGTACACTAGACTGCTAAACCGAACCAGAAAAGGGTACTGGACTGCTGAATTGAACCAGAAAAGGCTACTAGATCACTGAACTGGGCTGGAAAAGCTAGTTGGATTGCTGAATCGGGCCGGTTTGACTTGTTGGATCATTGAACCGGGCCGGTTTGGCTTGTTGGATCACTGAACTGGGCCGGTTTGACTCGCTCTGAACCCGAATCAAAATTGTCTGAACCGGTCTGAACCACTGAAATTGGGTTGAACCGAAACCAATTGGGGTTGGATCAAATTTGGGTTGATCTGAAGTGGATCGGGTCTGGGCTGTTTCTTCTTCGTTGGTTAGGGTTGCAGAAAACCCTCTTCTGTGTTGACTGCGCCTCAATAGCCACGCCACCACCACTAAGCTCGTCGATTGAGCAACACCACAACTGACCACAAACCGAGACAAACCGAACGTCGGCAAACACAAGACCACCACCAACACACACCGAACTTTGGCAAACACAGTACCACCACAACAGACCACCACCACAACAGGATTTCGATAAACACAGTACCACCATAGCCAGTATCAACAACACCACAACAGTAGCACCACCACGACGACAGTACCAACACCACGACGACAGTACCAACACCACCACAACAGTAGCAATAGTAACACCTCTACCAACAAAATTTATTCAAAATATATATTTATGATCGTAATTGCTCTGATACCATGTTAAGTTTGAAAGATTAACACAATATTAGAGACAATATTTAGTGAGAAAGAGAGAGGTTAACAACCTAACCTAGTTCTCATACAACACTTATATTTATAGTTAACTCACAATAATAAGAATTACACATACACCCTCTTACTATTA